GTTGATTCTTTGTGATAGTGCCTGTGTGATCAATCAGGATTTTGTTCATAGTCTTTGCCTACACCAGTGTCTTTGAGAGTTCTACTATTCTATCTTCTAGAAGATTTAATGTTTAAATCTTTGATCCATTTCAAATTTAGTTTAGTCCATGGTAAAAGATAAAGGTCTAGTTTTAATGGAATTTCTTATGAAACCAAATTCATAACCAAATTCATTCAAACCAAATTCATTTCTTATGAAACCAATTTCATAACCAAATAAAAGAACAGCAGTAGTTATTATAGCTGTGCATGGTGGCACATACCTGTAGTCCCAGCACTCAGAAGGCTAAGGCAGGAGGATCAAGGCAAATTTGAGGCCATCCTGGGGCTACACAGTGAGTTCAAAGCCAGCCTCAACTACATACTAAGACCCTGTCTCAAAAACAAAAGCAGAAACAAATGTTACTATACTGTGTCATTATCTTCAAATTACTTAGTACAAGACATAAATCAGGAAGATTTTTACAAAAAAGAAACATAACACAAATTTTATTTTCAGTGAAGTAAGGTGAACTACTAGTATAAGTAAAAGAAAGTAACGTGTATTTTCATATTTTTAAAACAACAGAACATGTAAGTTGGAGAAGTGTATGAGCTTCTCCCTACTTCTTATTTCTCTCCTAGTTTGCCCTTTATTTGCACATACATACTGTTTTTCTTTTTGGGGAAGGAGTGTGTTTTGAGCCACAGTCTCACTGTGTAATGCAGGCTGGCCGTGAGCTCAGATACAAAACCTGGGGTGGCTGAGAACTCATGGTAATTCTCCTCCCTCACCCTCCAGAATGCTGGGATTATAGGCATGTACCACCATGCCCAGGTATATTGTTTCTCATGTAAGAGAAACCATGCAGTATTGAACTTGTATGTGTGCCTTTATTTCTTTGTTTTAAGATGGGGTCTCACTTTGTAGGCCAGACTGGTTTTGAACTGGCAGCTATACTCCTGCCTCAGCCTCCCAAATAACTGGGATTACAAGCATGTGCCACCATGCCCAGCATCTGCCTTATTTCTTACAGGGAAACTTCAGAGGCATTAGTTGTACTTTTCTGTTAATTTCTGTACATAATTAAGAAAATAGTATAAAATAGTTTTATAAACTGGGCCTGGTATCTCATGCCTGTAATCCAGCACTTGGGAGGCTGAGGCAGGAGGATCGTTGTGAGTTTGAGACCAGCCTGGGCTACAAAGCAATCTCAAGACCGGCCTGCACTGCATGGAGAGACCTTGTCTCAAAAAAATTTTTTTTAAAAATAGTTTTATAGAGAAATACTGCTTATTAACATTAATCATAAAATCTGAAGTAGAAGGAAAAGTACAAGGTACCAGATTGAATTTTCTCAGTATCCTAAATTATTGATTGGCAAAGCTGTATTTGAGCACATTATCTGGGAACTCAATAACTAGAAACTGTGTTCCATCTTTCTTTGAAAGGCTTTAATAATTTAGAACTTTTCTTTTAGCATTGAAAGAGTTACCCCAGCTCTTTGGTGTCCTTTGGAACCATAATGATAACCTTTTTTTTTTCTTATTGGTACTGGGAATCGAACTCACAACCATGTGCTTGCAAGGCAGGCACTTATGCCGCTGATCTAAATCCCCAGCTGGAACCATAATAAAACAGATTTATTTCTGCTTGTTAATGAGAAGTTTTTCAAATATCGTTTGATGGATATTTGATTTCACATCTTGATTTTTCACTTTTATCTAATCACCTTGGGCTTTTTTTTTTTTTGTACCAGGGATTGAACTCATGACCTAGCACTTGCCATGCAGGCACTTAGGCCACTGAGCTAAATCCCTGGCCATTGGACTTTTTTTTTTTTTTTTTAAACTATTTCTTTTTTCCCCATTTTTAAAAATCCATGCATATAGGTTATTCAGAACAATGGGCTTCATTCTGGAGATTTGTACATGCTGATTAAATACCTCAGTTATCCACCCATACCCTCCTATTACATCTTCTCACATGGGCTCATATTTTTTAAGAGGTAGTTCAGAGGGTATAGTGTGCTTTGTTCCTACTCATCTGCACATTACAACCTCCCGTTCCCTTCCTTTGTCTTTTTAGATTCCACATATTAGGGAGAACATGTAATACTTGTTTTTTAAAAAGATACTCAAGAGTAGTAATGGCTCCTGAAAGACATGGGGAATGGTTGCCTAACACTTGTCATTTTGACTGGTTTGTCTTTTCTTTCATTCATTCATTGGGTTTTTTTGCAACAAGGTCTTGCTATGTTGGCTATTTTGGCCTTGAATGCTGGGTGACCTGCTTTAGCCTCCTAAGTGTTGGAATTACAGACATGCAATTCCACTACACTTGCCTCCTGACTAACTTGTGATTCTTGGGTTTTTCTATACATTACAAAATTTTGTCCTTTTTTTTTTTTTTTTTTGCTAAATACTCCATTTTATGTATACATATATCACATTTTCTTTGTGTATTCCTCTAATGGGCACCTAGGCTGGCTCCATATCCTGGCTGTTGTATAGCATGCTGTGTGGTGTTGTACATTGTATGTTGTATAAGATGGGTGTGAAGTTTCCCTACAGTATGCTGACTTTTAACTCCTTCAGATGTGTGTACCAAGGAGTGGTATAGCTGGATCAAATAGTAGATCTAGCTTCAGTTTTTGAGGAACCTTCCTATTGATTTCCGTAGTGGCAATTTACATTCCAACCAGCAGTGTAAAAGCATTCCTTTTTCCTCCATGTCCTCATCTGCATGTACTTTTCATATTTTTTATTATCATTTTATTTATGTCTATGTGTGTATGTATGTATTTGGTTTTATGAGACAGGGTCTTGCTATTTGTTTGGCTGTCCTTGAACTGAGGGATTCTTCTGTCTCAGGCCTGGTTTTTGTATTCTTGATGATAGCCATCCTTTCCAATTTCAGTTTATGTATGTGCTGTTGGATGTGGATTTCAGCTATTTTTGACTGGAATAAGATGGAATCTTTGTAGATTTGATTTGCATGTCCCTGACCACCTCTGATACATGGTTGAGACGTTTGATCCAATTTATTCATACTTCCTTTGAAATGTGTTGCCACACTAAATATGTTATTTGGAGGGCAAAGGTTTATGTTAATTTAATTTTACTTTTTATTTTTCTGGGTACCAGGGATTGAACTCAGGATCTTGAGCTTGTCAGGCAGGCTCTTTGATGCTGAGCTATGTCACCAGCTGCATTTATTTTTATTATTTTTTGTTTGTTTTGACAAGGTATTGCTGTGTAATTCAAACTGATCTGAACTCACTGTGTAGCCCAAGCTGGCCTCAAAATTGCAATAGTCCTCCTACTTCAGCCTCCTCATTGCTGAGATTAGAGATTAAAGGCATGTGCCACCATGACCAATTAGGAGTATATATATATGAACTGTTTTTTTTTTTTTTTTTTTGGTACTGGGAATTGAACTCACAACTGTGTGCTTGCAAGGCAGGCACTTATGCTGCCGAGCTAAATCCCTAGCTCAGGAGTTTATTTTTAAAACTAACCTTCAATAAAGCTAAATGTGGTGCACACCTGTGTTCTCAGCACTGGAAGGAAGGATTGCTTCAAGTTTGAGACCAGTCTATCTGTACTATATAATATACAAAGCAGGCTGAACTACACAGGAAGACCCTGTCTCACAAATACCGAATGAACCTTGCCTTTAGCGGGGATTTCTCACTTAGCTCATAATACATATTTTAAAAATTAGAAGAAGTAGACTTATTTCTGTCTGGTCTGTTAATTGTTCAGAATTTTTATATTGTGACACAGGGTCTTGCTATGTAGTTCAGACTGATCTTTTTTTTTTATCGATTTTCTTTTTTGATCTTTGTTTAAATCAGTTTTTTTTTTTAATCGGTACTGGGTATCGAACTCATGACCGCCTGCTTGCAAGGCAGGTGCTAATGCTGCTGAGCTAAATCCCCAGCCCCCCGCCTTTTTTTTCAATTGAGTTCAAACTGATCTTGAACTCATTCTGTAGCCCAGGCTGGCCTCATACTGGCAATGGTTCTCTTACCTCAGCCTCCAGAGTGCTGGGATTTATTATTTGTCTGTCTTTTAAGAATGCAGGCTCCAAAATAGAAAAAAAGGTTTTTAAAAAAGGAGGGGAAAAGAGATTGAAGGGATTGGAGAGAGTTGGGGAAAAAAGGGGAATAAACATGTATCATGTGAAGGTCCAAATTCCCTATTATACATATGATCATTATGTATATTTAAAGTGTACCAATTAAGTTCATTTAAAAATGCAGGCTTCATGAAACCAGAAACTGTCACTTAACACTGTTTCCTTAAGTAGTTACTTAGGTGTTAAGTGAAGGAATGTCCTTTTTTGTTGTACATTCATTTTATTGATAGCTTATAACAAATGAAAAGAATATTGACTGTACTGTTTTGGCTTTTTGTTCTTTTTCACTAACCTGCCAGAGATAGAAATTCCAGGAGTTGGAGGTACATACCTCCAGTTGGAACATCTTTACATTGATCCTTATATATGTAATCACCTTTGCATGTGTTTTTCCTCTGAAAAGATTTCTTGAAAGATCTGGTCCCTTGCCACATACAGACAGTAATGGATATTTAGGAATTTGATTTTGTTTCAGATGTGAGAAAAGTCTGGTTTGATAAATGATGCCTAATTGGAGATTCTAAATAGAACGATGCTAGGTTTTGCATGAGTGTTTTATTTCTTTGATAGACACTTGCTCTTTGGGAACTTATACTGGGTCTGACTGATAAACTGTATTTATCTTTCTGTGTTGTGTATTATGTTGTGATACAGAAGCTAGAAGCTTTTCCATATTTTGAAAAGCTTTTCCTTTCCCATTTGCTCTTAAGTATAAAACTGACTGCTGTTCCTAAACATCTGTATGTCTTAACATGTATTCTGAAGACAGCTCTGATGGTTAATAAATTTTTAAAAATGTTTTTTGTGACAGTAATGTCTTTTGTTTTCTTACCCAGAGAATGGATCTTGGAGAATGTCTGAAGGTTCATGACCTGGCTTTAAGAGCAGATTATGAAATTGCATCCAAAGAACAGGATTTTTTCTTCGAACTTGATGTATGTATTTTTGTTTTAATGGATGATACTGTCTTTTGATTTAAAGTATTTTTAAGATGTGTTAGTATCTGCCTTACTTTTCTTGTTGCTGAGACAGAATACCCAGCACCTAATGTTAAAGGAGTAAAGGTTTATTTCACTCAACAGTTTGTAGAGGTTTCAGTCCACACTTAGCTGGCTCCAAGGCAGGGTGGTGTGGCAGAAGAGAAACAATCCATGGTATGGCTGGCAGAAAGCAACAAAAAAAGCAAGGGACCTTAACAGTGTCTTTCTGCTCCTTTTATTTTATCTAGTCTACTTATGGTGTATAGCACTCACACCCTTAATTCTAGTGCCCTTGATCCTAGCATTTGACTAATCACAGCATCATATACTCTCAATCCAGCCACGTTTTATAAAGCCTGTTGAGTTTAAAAAGCCACATCTAGACACACACTGTAACAATATCTCATAATAGGAAAATTTCTTAGCAAATTATTCTCTTTGTGGGTATATGAAGATTGGTACTCCAGTGAGATCTTGTAGTGTTTTTTTTTTTTGTCAATATACTGTAAAATATGAGACTCTGAGTTTCCGACCCAGTACTGGATATTGAGTCTAGGGCCTTTGCCCTGAGGAACATCCCCTAACATTTTAATTTTTTTATATCAGAACAAAATCTCCAACCTTTTGGAAGGGGTTTAGCTATGTAGTTCAGGCTGGTCTTGAACTCACTGTGTATCTTAGGCTGGCCTTGAATTGAAGGTGATCCTCCTGCCTTTGCCCCTCAGTGTACTAGATTTGGCTTCATATTACACATTTAAATTCTTTACCCAACTTGTATGTATTCTACTTAAGTATTGAAATTGTATTCTAATTCTCTGTTAGTTTTTACATAGTTACTTAGTTAACCTACCACAATGTAATTAGTCCATTGAGGGGCTATGTTTACATTTACAAGAGGATGTTTAAATAGATTTCTGTTGTGATATAATGAAAAGATAAACTTGACATGAATTTGATAAAAATAGAAAATAAATAGCTGTCTTCTGAGTCATTACAGATAAAAGTATCAAATGGGTGTGGTGACATATACCTGTAATCCTAGCTGAGGCAGGAGGATAGCCATGAGTTTGTACATCCTGGATTACATAGAAAGACCTCAACAAACAAAAACCAAACCAACTACCCATAAAAGCAAAAAAAAAAAAAAAAATCCAAAGTGTAGTTGTTGGGGTGGGTGTTTTTTTTTTTTTTTTTTTTTTTGAGATAAGGTCTCACTGTGTAGTCCAGGTTGGCCTTTAACTCAAGAGGTGATCCTCCTGCCTCAGCCTCCCTAATGTGAGCATTTAAAAGTTGTGTGCCACCATGTCCAGTTAAAGCATAGTTTCTGAATAAAGGTTTATTCTTTGGTGGTATTGGAGACTGAATTTAGGTGCTACATCCCTACTCCTTTTTTTTGTTTTGTTTTTAATTCTCAGATGGTCTGTTAAATTGCCTAAGCTGGGCTCTTAAATTAGACCCCCCCCCCCACCGATAAAAAGGAAAAAGACAAAAAGATAAAATAAAATAAAATAAATTTCATCTCCCTGCTCTTGTGTCTAGAGTGCTGGGATTACAGATGTGTACCACCATCCCCAATCCTGAATAAAGATATTTCAGAATAAAGTTGACATTTTGGTGGTAATTATTTTATTTAAATCTTGTAGGCTATGGATCATCTGCAATCATTTATTGCAGATTGTGATCGAAGAACAGAAGTAGCTAAGAAAAGATTAGCAGAAACTCAAGAAGAGATTAGTGCTGAAGTGGCTGCAAAGGTAAGAATCTCCATTAGGACAAAATTATTTTCTTGTGTTTTGTTTGTTTTTTTGAGAAAGGGTCTCACTATTTAGTTTAGGCTGATCTTGAACTCTCTATGTGGTTTCAAATTCATGGCAAACCTGCCTCAGCCTATTGAGTGCCAGGATTACAGCAATGTACCACCCATGTCCATCCAAAATATTTCAACTCACCACTTCTGTTTAACTTTTTATTTTGAAATAGATTGCTGGAGATTCCAAAGACATTATAAGGAATTCCGTGTATACTTGCAGTTCACTACCCCAACATTAACATGTAAGACAACTTGGAAGTCACTAATCTCTTCTTCATCTCTGTAATTATTTTGTGAATGCTATGTAGTATAAGTGCACATTATCCTTTTGAGATTGGTGGCAATTTTTATTTTTGTTACCAGGGATTGAACTCATGACCTCCAACCTTTCCAGGCAGGTGCTTATGCTGCTGATCTACATCCCTGGCCCTGAGATTGCTGTTTTGAAAAACCACTATTGCCTTGAAGTTCATCCAAGTTATATGTTATAGAAGTTCATTTTTATTTCCAAGTAGAATACCACGGTGTTAGAGATAGCACAGTTCACACATTAGCATATTGGAGAACATTTGGCTTGTTTTCTACTTAATGGGTAATAACAAAAGTGCAGTAACCATTTATATATAGATTTTTGTATTTTGTTTCCATGTTTGTGTTTTTCTTTTTGAGACATGGTTTCACTATGCAATTCAGGCTGGCCTTGAACTCACTTCATAGCCCAGGCTGGCCTCAAATTGGCAGCAATCCTCCTGCCTCATCCTGCTGAGTTTTAGAATTACAGGCATGTGCCACCATGCCAAGCAGATTATTATACTGACATATGTTTTCATTTTTTTAGAATAAATACCCAAGAGTGCAATGGCTATGTTGTAATATAAATCTGTTTTTAGTTTTGAAAGCAACTGCCAGTGTTTAAGTGACTCATTTTACATTCCTACCAGCAATGTGTAGGTGATCGTTTCCCCACGTTTGTCCCAGCTTTGGATGGCAACTATGTTTCAGTTTTTATCTGCCTGATAGCCCTATAGTGATGTCCTATTGTGGTTTCAATTTGCATTTCCCCCATGACTAATGAAGTAGGATGCTTTTTCACATATATATTTGCTATCCATATGTCCTCTTCAGTGACATGTCTCCTTTAGATCTTTTGCCCATTCTCTAATTGCTTTGTTGGCTTTTTAAATGTTGAGTTTTGAGTGTTTAGCATTTTAGCTTTTTTTTTTTTTTCTTTTCTTTCTTTGTACCAGAGATTGAACTCACAACCTTGCACTTGCCAGGCAAGTGCTTATGCTGCTGAGCTAAATTCCCAGCTGTTCTTTGCATATTTTTTTTTTTTTTGAAACAGGGTGTCACTATGCGGTTCAGGCAGGTCTTAGGCTCACTTTTTAGCCCAGGCTGGTCTTGAACTTGCAAGAATCCTGCCTTAGCCTCCCAAAAACAGTATTTTTAAATACTATTAGGCAGATATGTTCATTTTCTTACATAGAGCTAATTTTTGTAATCCTAATCTAAACAAAGTTCTATATATTGAATTTGGTTGGCTTATGACTTTCTGGTTTATAATGTGGTTCTGTACCATTTGTTATAATCTAGTGTATTTAGGAAAGTGCAAAAGGAAATCTCTAAGTAAAGTTCAGATGACAGCAGTGAGATATGGTATTTGAAGTACGTTCATAAACCATATAGGAATCCAAGCAGCCAAATTGATAAATTTTGGAATTTTATTAGCTGAGCTCAGTGACAGCCCTTAGACCTGTTTCACGATCAAAACGGGTGGCCCCAAACTGGAGGGTAACGGCATTTAAAGCAGAAGACCACAAAGCAAGACATCCTGTTGGAAACAGTTTAGCTGGAATAGTACATTAATTTCGGTTGACTCTTGTATCCTGCTTCTTTGTTGAGCAGGTTAACTTTTCTGTCTTTTGGGTGCAGCTTATTCTGCTTTTCTCATGGGAATTGTACCCTGAGTAATTTTTCATTCTTCTGGGTCAAATACAGGGGTGCAAGTCAAATAGAAGGCATAATATGGCATCAGTTATGCCAAGTACAACAGCATTTACATATGTATGTACAAAAGGAAATAGTTTCTTTTTTTTGAGAAAAGTTGTTTTTAGCAAGCAGGCTACTTTGCTAGTGTCCTGAGACTGCTGCTGTCCATCTAAAGCATGTCCATCTAAAGCTGTGTATCTAAAGCATGTTTTCTCATGACTGTGAGGTAGGTTTTATCTGTGCTTTTTAGGTGACCAAATATATTTGGGTTTAACTAAGTGGACAGAATTACATAATTAGTAACTGGTTCAGCAATAATCCATGTCTATGGGACTCTTAGGCTGTGTTTCTACCAGTTTATTTCTCTAGCCTATAATTGAGCACCGTGCTATTTTTTGGTCACTGGAGATCCAAAGATGAGAGAAAAATAAAGTATGCCATGTGTACAAGCCATCGTCTAAAAAGATAAAAAGAGAAGGGCACCATCATTACTCTATTTGTGTGTTTAAATAAAGATGAGATCTGGTGATTGTTCAGGGATGCTTCTGAAAAAGAGACTTCATTTAGATCTTGTTGAATCAGTGAATACTGAGTAGTCAGGCAGGGAAGGCAGGTGGTAACGGGCAATGTCCCAGGAACTATGTGTAAGGTTTCAGGCAAAAAACATCAGGGCAAGTCTGGGAAACTGCATATAGTACAGATTGTGTTATGAAGTGAAAGAACAATTAAGTAGCACTTTGGGAAAGCGCAGAGGGACAAATTATGGAAGAAAAGGTGTTTTACACTTGGAAATACATGTAAGGAGAGGCTGGACAGCAGAAGTTACCTTGAGATCTAGTATCATTGATCTTAGAGGTGAAAGTAGGTAGGTTCAAAACTTCCTGGTATAGGCTGGGTGTGGCAGTGCATGTCTGTAATATCAGCAGTCGGAAAGGAGAGCCAGAAAGATTCCCTGTGAGTTTGAGGCCAGCCTGGGCTAAAATGTGAATACAAGGCTAGTCTAAACAGCTGTGTAATAAGCCATGTCTGAAAAAGAAAAAAAATTCCAGTGTTTCACTAGTTTCTTTGCTTTTATGTATATGTATTTATGTTTTTGATACGTAATAATTTGATACGTAATAATACGTTCTTCTTGGGGAGTTGGTGCATAGACATGTTATACCAGAATCATTTTTATTCCCTCTTGTACTTGCTGCCTTCCTCTTCCCCCCGACCCCAGACCCTAACCCATCTTCATAAAGTATACATCCCTCTTCCTATTATCTTTTATTCTGCAGTTGAAGATATACTGCAAAGCATTATTTGTATTCATATTGCCTTAGATAACAGACCTTTTCTAAGCATTTCTAAAATACTTTGAAGTTCAGTATTCATTCTGTTAATGATCTTCTATTAATGATCTTTTATTTCTTACTAGGCAGAACGTGTTCATGAATTAAATGAAGAGATTGGAAAATTATTAGCCAAGGTGGAGCAACTAGGAGCTGAAGGGAATGTGGAAGAATCCCAGAAAGTCATGGATGAAGTAGAGAAAGCACGGGCAAAGAAAAGAGAAGCAGAGGTAAATTCATGTCTGTAATTCTTAAAGAACATATATTTGGAAATAGCTGAAAGTTATTAAAGGAAATTTAAACCAATTTAAAATATTCAAGTGATCTATGTCATGCAGTCAGATTTTGTTTCGGAATTAGTTGTTTTTTTGAAATTTGGAGTCATTGATCTGTTGGAAAAAACTGGTAAATGTAATTAAGCCAGCCACTCAAATATGATAGTTCCATATGTGGAAGACACACATTCTGCATATTCTTAGTAACTGTGACACCCTGTCTCCCACTGACTTGGATGGACCCCTGTGCAACTGCCATTGTAGCATTCCTGATTGTCTTGCTACCTCAGTAGTATAGTCTGCTGGTTCCCTGGGAACTTTGTCTCATCCTTCTTTTGTAGCACAGGTAAACATCTGATATCTTACAGAAAATGTCTTTTTTTTTTTTTTGGTACTAGGAATTGAACTTAGGACCTCAAGCTTGCCAAGCAGTTGCTAGGACATTGAGCTAATGTTCTGGCCCAAAGTTCTGTTTTGATTGGTACAACCTAATGGTATTTAGAAAATCCAGTGTCTTTAGTAGGGATTCCACTGTACTTTGTGCCTATATCCACTGCCACTCACAGGTCAAATTGGACTGGCTGTACAGTCAATCACCTGTGTGTTTGCTATAGCTACTTGAGGCTATAACCCCTACTTCCGTATGCTTCTTCACAACCCTGGGCAATCTACTGCAGTTTTTTTTTTTCTTAAACCTTTTACCCCGTGTATTTTGGTGGTTAAAATAGCTCAGGTTCAGTTGTGGTAAGATCACAAATGCGGAGGAAAGCCTTGTTACCCATAGTGCTTTGGAGTGCCTGCACTTTTCCTTCCTTTCTCTCTTTCTTGGTATCCGTGCTTTTCTTCCAAGAGGGAAACAGAATAGAGGGAAGCCATTTTAAGATGTTCTCAGCATCTCTCCTTATGCTGTTTTAATGCTGATTTTCAGCAGAGAAGAAGGCAAGCATTGAGTCGAGGGAGGAGAAAAGAAAAGCTGTTTATTGTTCCTCATAGTATCAGTAGAAAGATACTAAGAACATACTACATTCAATAGTGTATCCTTTTTTCCTTTGGAGAAAGAGAAGGCCCCAAAACATGTTAGGTATTTTTCACAGAAAAGAATTGAAGGAAATTTATGCAGTCTGAGCCACTGAGCTGCATCCCCAATCCTGCTTTAAAAAAGTTATTTGTATTTTGAGACAGAATCTTGCTAAGTTTCCAGGGCTAGGCTCTAATTTGTAATAGTGCTGAGATTATTGTGCCATCACAACCAGCTCCAGCCATTCTTTTAGTTTGTTTGTTTTGCTACTGGAAATTGAACTCATGACTTTGTGCTTGATAGGGGTGCTTATGCTGCTGAGCTAAATCCCTGGCCCTAGCCATTATTAATAATATACTGATGTAATGACTTTGTCTTTGCCCAATTCATGGGTAATGCTTGAGTAAAATTAATTGGAAAGTGTTTGTTTTTGAAAGTAACTTTCTTTTTTGTAGGATTGGTGTAGTTTCTTTGTTAAACGTTTGCTAGAATCTTCCTTAAGCCATCTAGGACTGGAGCTGTCCTCATGCAGAGTTTTGTTAAGAATAAAATTCTCGCTGGGCATAGTGGTGCATGGTGGTCATCTCAGCATTTAGGAGGCTGAGGCAGGAAGACTGCCACAAGTTCAAAGCCATTGTGCATTGAACTATATAGGGAGACCCTGTTTTAAAACAAAGAATTAAATTCTTTAAGGGTTATTTAGATCTCAGGGTGGGTTTTTTGTTTTGGTTTGGTTTTTGAGACAAGGTCTCATTATGTAACTCAGGCTGTCCTTGAACTCACTATGATCATCCTGCCTCAATCTCCCAAGTGTTGGGACTAGAGGCATGTGCCACTGGCTGGGCTCATTTTTTTGTGTTTTGTTTTCTTTTATGACTTTCGAACATTTAGGTTTTACAAAAGTTCTGAGTTGTTGCATTTACAGGTATACAGTTCTTTGTGAATTATTTAAAATGTTTTCTTTAATGTCTGTATTATATAACCTCTGCAATGTTGCTATCTTTTTTTTTTTTTTCCTCTTGCAAACCTAAGTCTATGGCTTTTGGGTTTAAGTGCACACTGTACCACTAAACTTTCGATCCATCTAGGTAGATACCTACTTGGTTTATTTTCCTTTTTTTAAAGTATGAGCTTTATGATTTTAATGTTTTTCTCTTTTATTTAATAGGTTTCTATTTTTATTTTTTCCTTTTAGTTTACTTTTCATTTGACTTATTCTACCTTTGTAAAGTATAAGCAGAGATTGTTTGTCTTAAAACTTTGTAATAAACTTTCTCCTGAGCACTAGAGTAGCTGCATTCGGTGGATTTTCATTTTAATTTTTCATTTAGTTCAAAATATTTATCTATTTATTTGAACTGCAAGAAAGTGCTGCAGGCATTTATGTATGTTTTCTTAATATGAATCAATGTCCCCACATTACATAAATATTTTTCACCAGCCTCAAAAATAACTAAAAACTAAATGTTTTACAATTTGATACCTAGCATTCTTAGAATAGGTTGCAAATGGTAGGCAACGCGCATTATTTACAAATCTGTTGTCTCACATTCGCAGTATAGCCCTATTCAAACAGACACATGGTTGAAATTCGAAGCTTCTAAAAGGACTAAAGGAACATTTTGTTAGGAATTACACATATTAGTAACCGCAAGATTGAGTTCTAGCTTTTCCCACTGAAATCAAAGAAGTAATTGAAATATAGAGCAAAATAGAACCAAAATGCATGTAACTTCTAAACAAAATTCAGCTGGGCATGGTGGTGCATGCCTGTAATTCCAGCACTTGGAGATTGAAGCAGGAGGTTTACTTTGAGTTAGAAGCAGCCTGGGTTTCAGAGCAAGACCCTGTCTCAAAACAATTACTATTAATAAGAGCTTCATTTTTCTTAAATATGTGGGTAATCGTGGACTCTGCTAATTGGATGTCTTGGTGAATTCCCCATCTGTACTTGACTGTTATTTTGCTTTGTTGGTCTATAAATGTTAAGATAGTTGATACATTTGTTCATTTAAGAGTATACCTTTATTTATTTTTTTATTTATTTTAAAGATTATGTCTTTTTGGGGCTGGAGATTTAGCTCAGTGGCATAAATGCCTACCTTACAAGTGCACGATTGTGAGTTCGATCCCCAGTACCAGTAAATTAAAAAAAAAAAAAAAAAAAAGATTATGCCTTTCTGATGAATTTAAATGTTGTTAGTTTGAAGTATCCCTCCTTAGCCCTAGGAATGTTCTTTGTTCCCATACCTGCTTTGTCTGATATTAATGTAGCTGCTCCAGCTTTCTTGTGAGTTAAGGTTATATACCAGAACCCCCTAGAGAAAATGCTGAGTTAAAGAGAGTAAACAAATCAGGTGTGATGACTGCATTGCTGTGAGTTTGAGGTCAGCCTGGGCTACAAAGTGAAGACCAGCCTGAACTGTAGAGTGAGATCCTGTGTTAAAAAGAAGGCAGTAAAAAGGTGGAATCCTAAACAATTTTTACACCAAAAGAAAGTAGAAAAGGAACAAATAACAAAAGACAAATAGAAAACAAATGACAAGCTGGTAGATTTAAATTCAGCGTAACAATATAATCAAATATGTTTTTAGCCATTGCGGTTATAAGGCCGAGTTGGTGAGACTTTTTTGTTTTTAAAGTAAAATTTAGATATATGCTGTCTATAAGAAGCCCACTTTAAATATAAAGACATGGGCTAAAAATAATAGGATAGAAACCAGACATGGTAGCTCGCACCCATTATCTCAACTGCCTTGGAGGCTACGGCAGAAGAATCAGAAGTTTGAGGCCCACCTAGGCAATTTAATAAGACTCTGTCTCAAAGTTGGATTAAAAATAGAAGCCAATAGAAGCCATGATGGTTCTTGCCTGTATCCCAGCACTCTGTCACTAATGCAGGAGTAGCACAAATCAAGTACTGTCTGGGCAACTTAGTGAGAACCTGCCTTGAAATAAAAATCAAGTGCTGGTCGTATAGCACAGTGTGAAGGCCCTTGGTTTGATGTCTAGGACTGTTGAGGTGGGGACAGAAGGTGGGGGGGGGCAATGATTCAGATGAAAATCAGCAATAGCTCCTATAACCTGTGGATCAAAAACTCACGAGAAACATTATTTCCTTGTCAAAAGTGTTAATATCAAGGTATTTACTAGATACAAAAGGGAAAGTGTTATTTCACAGCAAAACTAGACACCTTCACCCAGAAGGGAACCAGTCACTAACAGGTGCCTCTTGATAGGGTACATTATGATAGTGGCATTCATGTCAAAAATCTAACCATGATGGGTAGGTTGGTGGTATCACTCAGCACCAAAGAATGTGTTCAGTATGCTTGAGCCCCTGTGTTCCCGTTTTCAGTCCTCAGCACTCTTACTCACCAAATCAGACCATGAGGAAAACTAAACAGACTGACATACATTTTCAGAATAAGTGGCCTGTACTCATCAAACTTGTTAATATTATGTTTACAAAGAAAGAGTAGTGGTTCTACGTTAACATAAACTAAAGAGATATAAATGAGACATGCCCTGGATTGCAAGTCTTTCATAAAGTAATACTTAGCAAGATTTCATGTCAGAATAAAAATAAAAAGTAAAAAGAGGCTTGGGATATGGCTCAGTGTGAAGACCCTAGGTTTAACACTCACTTCTACAAAGTGAGGAAAAAGGTATCTGAATATTATTGGGACAACTGATGGTATTTAAGTAAATTCTTTAATTCCCTTGTATCACTGTTAATTCTTTTTTATTTTAAAGGAAATAAAACAGCAGTAAAACAAGTTGAAATAGTAATGAGACAATAGGAAATTTATAATAGAAACAACAGTATTGCATATTGTTGTCCTCTAAATAATTCCTCAGCTTTAGGCTTGCAAAGTCAGTCAAACAATACAGTTCCTCCAAATCAATTGGTTGCTCACTGTGGGTAGGGGTCAAGGAGGTGGGGCTGGCTATTCTTCTCTCTCTAGCCTGTGTCTCTGGCTCACAGACTGGGGGCTTAGCTTGCTTCTTGTTCTCCCAGATCTGCTCTGCACTCTGGCTGGCTCACAGTTAGATTCTCAATGTTAATTCTTGATTTTGATAATTATAATGTGCATCTGTATTTTTAGGAAATACACAAAAATATTTAGGGGTAAAGATAGTGTGGGTGTAGTAAAATGTTAACATTTGGGGGAGTTTAGGTGAAGAATGTAAGAAATTACAAAATGTTTGAAAATGAAAGAAATTTAAAATATGCATGTACAGCAACATGAGAGCAAGTCATCTCTACTTTTGTACTTTGATCTTTTTGTCTTATGCATAAAACTAGCTTTACCACCTATATTTGCTATCACAGATTGTTAAAATGTTTTTTTCTTTTTTAGTTTTTTTAATAAGAGAAACCATGCAACATTTAAACTTGTGTGTCTGACTTACTTTACTTAACTTTATGTTCTCAAGTTACATCCATTTGCCTACAAATGCTTCAAGTTTATGGCAGAGCAGTACTCCATTGTGAATAAATACCACATTTTCTTTATCCATTCATCTGTTGATGGACATATATGCTGCTTCCAAGATGTAGCTATTATAAGTTGTGCTGCTGTAAAGATGGGTATGTTTGTATCCCTGTAATATAAAGACTTCTTAACTTTTTCAGGAAGATACCTAGAAGGGAAGTAGCTAAGTCAAATAGTTTCTATTTTTAGTTTTGGGAGGGGGGTTTGATACCAGCAATCAAACTCAGGTCCTCTCACTTGCCAGGTGGGCGTTGTGCCACTGAGCTATATTCCTAGCCCTATTTTTAAGTATTTTGAGGAATCGCCACACTGATTTCCATAGAGGTTATATCAGTTTACGTGCCCACCAACAATGCTGATTAATTCTTTTTTTCCCCTTGCCAGCCTTTTTTATCTGATTTTTGATGATGGCAGGATTCTTCAATGTTCTTTTCCATATGTTGTGTTAAAAATCTGATGTAGGACCCTTTCACATGTGATTATACATTTCTGTAATCCCAGCACTTGGGAGGCGGGGGTGGGATAATTGCCACTAATTCATGGATAGCTGTACCTACATAGTGAATTCAAGTTCAGCTTGGTCTGCAAAGCAAGACTCTGTCTCAAAACAAACAAAAACCTACAGAGAAGGAGAGAAGAGTAGATTTAATTTTTAACAAAGACTGTGAAAAAGGAACGTTGAGAAAACCTTTTAAGAAAGCTATGTTTTGTGTTGTAGAATTCTTTGGGTCCTTTCTTGGCAAAAGGAATTTGAGGCCTTGGCCTTTGGCCCCCCCCCCAACAGCCCCCAATGGAGCTGTCTAGATCAGAATGGAGACAAAAGAAAACCTGTAATTTTCTTGACAAAATAGCTATGCTTTTATGTATTCACTGGGAAACATTCTTAGTTTGTATGATTGTTGGTCTTCTCATTTTTGCTTAGGAAGTGTATCGGAATTCTATGCCAGCTTCCAGTTTCCAACAGCAGAAACTTCGAGTCTGTGAAGTCTGCTCTGCCTATTTAGGTCTTCATGATAACGACAGACGACTGGCTGATCATTTTGGGGGTAAACTGCACCTGGGATTTATTGAAATAAGAGAGAAGCTTGAAGAATTAAAGGTATATTGGTAAATTAATAGCCTTCATTTTATCTTCCTTAGCCAAAATGGAAAGTCCCTAAAATGTCCATTGTTGTTTTTTCAATAGTCAAAAGAGAATAACAAAAAATGATATAATATAATAATGTTTTAGTATTATAATTATATATTATTATGTGTAATAAAATGTACTTTACAAGAAGAATGAGAAAATGAGCCCAATATTTGTTTGAAATATTTGCAGTTTTTAACTAAATAGCAGGCTTCTTGTAAAACCTCTAGTTTTATGCACCTTGCCCAGTTCAGAAAGGGTATAGGAAGAACCCAGTGAAAGTATACTTACTATTGACTAAGTATAAAGGCTAAACTGTGCATGATGGCTCGTGCCTATAATCCCAGTCCTTGGGGGAGACTGAGGAGACTGCAAACTCAAGCCTAGTCTGGGCTGGCTATCTTTGTGTTTTTTGGGGGTTTTTTTGGTTTGTTTTTGTGGTACCGGGGATCGAACCCGTGACCTAGAGCTTGCCAGGCAGGTGCTTGTGTTGCTGAGCTAAATCCCTGGCCCCTCTATGATAGTTTTTAAAGAATTGTGATAGTGTAGCATTTTGTTGCAGATTGAGAACTGTCTGGAGCATTGGCAACAGTGAGTTACTGTCTATGAAATTTTATCATTAAAATTAGCTCAACATACATAGTTTGGTATTTTATATAATATGGAATCAGAACCTATTGTCATATTACAGTTACCAGTGATCCCTTCTCAAATTTTTGATCAACTAGTATGATTTCAAATTTAAGTTTCTAAAAAAAAAAAAAAAAAGTCAAAATGTTTCATCATAACAAGTGGTTATTGGGCTCTACATTAAAACTCTGAAATCGTACTTACCTGTTAGTCTGGGTGGGTACAGACCTAGCAACAGGACTCTTTAGCATTTTCATTTATATATCTTTAAAGCAACAGCATCAGAATGGTGATTGGAAGTGAAAAGACATTTCCAAAAACCATAGGGAACGGAATCTTGCAATTTATAATAAACTATAAAGTAATGCTGGGGAAAAGCTTATAAATGCGATTTTAAGTTGTCATTAAGAAATCGTAGAGAAACATAAGATTGTGCATATTTTATACAAGAGAGAAAAATCTAGAAAGCAGACATGTTAGCCTAGCATTTATATCTGGCAGAGCTTCAAACTGAATTATTACTTAACGGATTTTGATGTTATCTATACTGTTGGAAACTAGGTATGGAATAGATTAGGATAAAGGTAATTAAGAATTGACCCAGTAAATATGTACTGAATTTATTATTTTTAAGAGAGTCGTAGCTGAGAAGCAGGAAAAAAGAAACCAAGAACGCCTGAAACGAAGAGAAGAAAGGGAGAGAGAAGAAAGGGAAAAGCTGAGGAGGTATGAAACATTAAATCTCCCTAGTTCTAAAAGGAAATGGGATTGATAGAAGATTTTAAATGGTACTAAAACATTTGAGACATTGAAAATTTCTGTTTACTTTTAAAAAATATTACTATGCAAGATAAATTGTATAAGCTGGGTATAGTGGCATTCACCTATAATCCCAGCACTCTGGAGGCTGAAGAAGGAGGACTGCTGTGGTGAGTTCAAGGGCAGCCTGGGCTACAAAATGAATTCAAGGCCACCCTAAACTGTCTCTCAAAAAGTTAGAAAAGGGCTGGGGATTTAGCTCAGTGGCATAAGTGCCTGCCTTGCAAGTGCGTTGTCGTGAGTTCGATCCCCGGTACCGGTTAAAAAAATAAATAAATAAAATTTTAAAAAACTATATAAATGCACAGGTGAGTACCTTTTCCCCAAAATGCTTGGAACCAAGAAGTATTTCAGATTTTTGGAAGTTCTTGATCTTTAGAATATTTGTATTAAATCTTTCTGGGTAAATATTTGTATTTTTAAAGGTCCCAAATCTGAAATGCCCCAAAATCTTAAACTTTTGACTTTCATGTCTATTCTCAAAAAGATTTGAATTTTACCTGGGCCTGGTGATGCTCACCTGTAATCCCAGCAACTCGGGAGGCTGAGGCAGGAGAATTGCTGTGAGCTTGAGATAAGCCCAGGCTATATAAGTGAGTTCAAGGCCATCCTGAACTACATAGTGAGACCCTGCCTCAAAAAAATTAAAAGGGAAAAAAAATTGTGTTTTGCATTTCAGATTTTGAAGAAGTGTTGCTCAATTTGTATGAACTGTTAACTGAAGGTGACTGGGTAGATTGTTTCAGGTTGGCTTAGAATTACAGTATATATTGTTTGATTTTGTTTTTAATATTTGTTGAAGTCCAGTGTCACAATTGGTTAGTGCATTGTACTTACATATTTATTGATAAAAGGTTTGAAATTACTTTGTTTTGTTTCATCATTTTCTGTTAAGCTTTGTTATTTCCTCAGTTCTAAGGAGCTATAAACTGTAAGGAGTCCATAAATGTATGTCTGCATATTATTTATTGTTAAAAATCATAAATCTTCATACTTAGAGTGTTTAAACATTCTTCTGAGTTACTTTTCTCTATTGGCAACTAAAATTGCATAGTACCACTGTTAAAACAGTCTTTGTATCTCATAATCATACCTTCTTTAAGTACTTGTGGATAGACGGCATGCCACAAAGGAGTTACTTGTTCTAGTGCTCTCTAAATTGTAGTATCCATCTCTGAAATTTAAATATCTTCTTTCAGTGTCAGCAAATATACTTAGGATAATTAAAACCCTTTGGAGCATATGAATAGTTCATGCTAACTTCTAAGGTTTTAGTATACACCTAGAGAAGTTTAAATAAACTTCATTTTGTTGCATGGCTTTTGGTGGTAATCTTTGTATACTACAAGGACAAAATGCAACAAAGTTGCTCTCTTCATTACTTTTCTTTCCTTGCTGAGACAAAACACCTTACACCCAAAAATAAGGAAGGAGAGATTTATTTAGCTTACTGTTTTGTGGGGGTATCAGTCTATAATCAGCAGGCTTCAAGGCGGGGTGGCATGGCACCGGGGCAACACTTCAAGGCAGCAGCCAGCAAAAACAGCCAGAGCAAAAGGTGAGGCAAGAGCAAGTCTCTTATCCTCCCTTATGTTGTACACAGGCCAACCCCTCGCCAGGGCAGGAATAGCACTCACAAAATCTCTGTGCCCTTCTCTTGCACAGGCTGAGAAAGTTTACAGTATAAAGATCCTGGCTCCCTGCTGAGTCTTAAATTTCTAAACTTCTCAAATTGACACAATGTATCCACCATAACAGTTGCTGTCAGTCTTGGCTGTCTCTCTCTCTTTAAGTTGTGTGCATGTGTGCTGAGATCTTCACCCCATTCCGTCACCATAATTTTTACCTCAAGTTTGTCTCCTTGATCTTTAGTGTATGCTACGTTCTTCTCGGGGGAATATTGTCCAGTATTGTGGTGATACTTAGAACAGTATAAGTAGCGTTTTATAATCTTAACAATATAAATTTACAATTCAGGGGAGATGATAGTCAAATGAGATCAAATATGTTTTGATACGCTATATACACTTCTTGCAAGTGATGAGAAAGTGCATGTTCTTGCTAGCCAACATGTTTTTTTTTTGACAGTGATTATAAAATATAACCGTATTTTTGAAGTGGTTTAAAAATTTTAAAAGAAACTGGAGCCATACTTTGGTGGGACACACTTGTAATATTGGTGCTCCAGTGCCAGAGGTAGAAGGATCATGAATTCAAGGACAGTGTTTACTACATAGCAAGACACTGTTCCCAAACAGCAAGGTTAAGAGAAAGGAGATTTAGCTTGCTGTGTGAGCACTCCTGGGTTCCATCTTTAATGCCATTCCCTAAAGTAACCCCCTATGAATCTTTAGGAGTATGAAAGATACAATTATAAGCTAATATAAAGTTATATAAAATGGGATTTCAACTACGGTACTGAAAAAATTCCCATCACAGAGTGCTTAGTATATTCTCGGCACTGTACTGAGAAGTTGGCCTCGTTTTTCTAATCCTTATCCCCTATCTCATGAAACTTGTAATACTGTCCATCTCTGCCAGTGGTAGCCTAAACTGAGAGAGAAGATATGAGACTCTGGTGACAAAGATGATGAGATAGGGATCTAGTGAAAATTCACATCTGGCTAAGCCCATTTATCAGTACTATAAATTATATACCAGAAACCCTGCTACATTGTCATGACCATGTCATTAACTGTTACTATTTAAGTGTTAACAATGTGGGGGGAATGTGAAGAGTATACTACTATCTCACTCATTTCACATAAGGGAAAAACAGATGTTGGAAGTTTGAGTTGGGTGTTACAGGGATTATATAACATGAGGTTGTTTCTCTAAAATGTCCACATTTCAGATCACAAATATTTGGGGGGGTGGGTACCAGAAATCAAACTCATGACCTTTCGCTTGCCAGGTAGGTGTTTATGCCACTGAGCTATATCCCCAGCCCCCTCAGAATATAAATATTTTTACTCTGTTCTCAAAAGAGAACAGTTTTTTCCAGGTTAGGAAGTGGTTTTTGAAGAATTAAGGAGTTGTGATATACTATATTTTGGTCATCCAGGAGCATGTTCTTTTTAAGAGCCAGGTATCCAGTTAAGAGAGCCTATATGGCAAAATGGAAGTCCATAGTGTGTGTGGTACATTTTGGAAACATTTGTGTTCTTAGTGCCTTACATTTTTAAAATTAGCATAAAAATTTGAAGTTAGAATATAATTTGACAACACATTTCACTGTTGTGTTAGTCACTTTTCTAAAAATAGGTATTCTTTTTTTAGGTCCCGATCACATAGCAAGAATCCTAAAAGGTAGGTATTATGTACAAGATAGGTATAAGTAGTCAAATTTTAGTTTTCAAAGGCAGTTTTGATAGAATGAATATTTTTTAAAAGTTTATGAGCATAAGTTATTATTGCTTCTTTGGTAAATTAAGTTTGAGATTGTCACTTGAGGAGAAACTAGTCAGAAGTCACTCATGAATTACAACTTTTTTGTTTGTTTTTCCTCGTATATAGTCAACTCAGTTTTTATTAGTAAAATTTGAGGAGAAAGTGATCAGAAGTCACTGCCAAATTATAACTTAGTATGTGTTTCTTTGGATTTTTTTCCCCTTGCTATGCAGTCAACTCAGTTTTTATCAGAGTAAAATTATATGTACTATCCTGGAATTGTAGGGCAAAACTTTTAGCTTAATAGTCCAAAATATTTCTTGAAAATTTTTTTTAGAAGGTCAGTAAGTATGTAACAGGATTTAAGAAACAGCAGTCTTTGAGGTTGTACCTGTTGAAAATATAAGCAGGTTAACTCATTAAATTTTTGAATGCTTTCCACAACAGGTTACTAAAACATTTACATAACAGGATACTAAAATATTTAATGTATGTTCCAATTTTGTCATTTGTAAATTTATTACTCACCCCTTTGTATAGTGATCACAAAAGGCTTCCAGAAGGGCATTTTATAGAAGAAGGGGAAAGGACTACATTCTCTCTTTTGACTTTTACTAGAGGCTTTATTTGTAGTTTTCACAGTTAATGAGAAATTGTTTCTAAGAAAGGGATAAAATTGTTGCCATTCAGTCTTTCTCATTTCTTCACTTGCGGTTCTCTTTCTTTGGGCCTTCCTTCAGAAATCCATTCTTTCCTAGAATGCCATTTCTCATTCTCTTCCAAGTCCCAACTGTTCTTATTCACAATAGATCCTTTTTTTTTTTTAACTTCTCAGAATAACAATTATTTTCCAAGAACTCTCCCTAAAATGGAAGAACCTTTGGAGCAGACATGGTGCATATGCCTGCAATCCCAGCACTTGTGAGATTGAGGCAGGGGAGAGTGCTTTAAATTCCAGGCCAGCCTGGGCTACATAGTGAAACCCTGTCTTAATTTAAAACATAAAATAAAAAAAACTTTATTGCAAGAAAAAATCTCTTGCTTCTGTTAGTCTCCCCTGGCATAGTTTTTAAAACCCTTCAGTGATTTAAGGTACTAACAAAAGCTGGCTGTAATCCCTTTACTCTGAGAAGCCTGGGGAGAGATTGCACTTGAGCTCAGCCTGGACAGTTTAGCAAGATCCTGTCTCAAAATAAAAAAGGACTGGGATATAGCTCAGTCCTAAGGCTCTAGGTTCAAACACTAGTACTGTGGGGGTGTGGGTTACTAGAAAACTAAGTGTCTTTAGATACTTCAGCCAGAAATACAACTTGTACCACTCCAGTCTAACACTTACTGGTCTCACTTCCAATGTTGTCTACTTCTGTCCTCCACTTCAGTCCATTCTTCCCACATTCGCCAAAATGAGCCCTCTGAAAAATGAAACAGAGTCAGGGATTTGCTCAGTGGTGTAAGCACCTGCCTGGCAAGCACAAGATAGTGAGTTCAGTCCCCTCTACCAAAAAAGAAATAGATTATGTGTGCTCTGTGTTTAAATTGTCAAAGGGTTTTTCACTTCATTCATAGGAGAAGTCAAAGTCCTTTCCAGCTTGTAGGGAGGATGATCTTGTAACCCAGCTTGCCTTGGAATACTTTTGGTGTCTGTTTTCTCAGAATGTCTGTTAATAGCTCACTTTAAGAATGTGTTACTCAGAACTCCCTGGTTTGAACGTTGCAGTTCTTTGTCATCCTATTCCTAAATCCCTCATGTTACTTTCCTTTACTTTTTCGATTGTCAGGCTTTCTCCTCACAGGCTTCTCCTGCCTAGACTTTGTGCCTGTGTGCTTTTCCTGCATAGCTGCTGTGCTTACACCTTTCTTTCCATTTTCACTTCATTGCCACACTATGAGAGAAGCTTCTATTATTTCTGTGTAAAATATGACCACTGTTTCTCTGCCCAGCTTTACCTTATTTTATCAGGTAGAGATTCGTATACATTCTAGACTGTAAGCTCCAAGGGGACAGGGACTTGGTTTTAATTGTTACTGACTCTTCCGTGGTAGCTAAAATATTTTGAATGAATGAATAATTGTCTGAAATTTCTAAAACAGTGAATAAAAAATTTTGCATCGAAAAAATAGATTCATAATAGCTGTCTCAAAATGAGTAGTTGAAGCAAAGATGATTTGATGAAACTTGTATTGAATGACTTGTATTCTTTTCTCTGTTCCTTTTTGCAGATATTCTATTCAGGTGTAGAAATACTCTGACTGTGATTGACACTGGATCTATAACATGCTGTTCTTTACCTATCATGTTAATGTGAACCTTTAAACTTCATTTATAACAATCATTTGAAAGGCTGGGTGGGAGAGACTGGGCGTGGTGGTTCACGCCTATAATCCTAGCACTCAGGTAGTTGAGGTGGAAGGATTGCTGTGCGTTTGAGGCCAGCCTAAACTACACAGCAAAAAACTACCTCAGAAAGAACAAAAAGGGCCAGGGGTTTAGCTCAGCGGCATAAATGTCTACTTGGCAACAAACAAAAAATCATTTGAAAATGTACTTAGTATGTAAACGATAGCACCCAGATAATGTGCTTTTTAACTTACTTTATTAGAAAACCTTAGAGTTTTACATGTATAACGTTAGCCATTTTATCAAGGTATAATTTTATATACCATATCAAGGTATAATTTATATAGCCATTTTGTCAGTGAGCTTAGAAATTTCAAGTTCTGTAATGCAACTTAGAATATTTTATCACTTTTCTTTTTTGTTTTGTTTTGGGTTTTTTTTTTTGCTATACTAAGGATGGAACCTAGGAGCTTGCCTACTACATGTGATTAAAAGGAGAATATTTAAAGTTTTTAAAAAGTGTTACAGTAACAGACACATGGCCAGTAATCCTCCTCAGAATATTCCTGCTTGCTTTGAACATACGTATCCCAACATTCTTGCCACTTTCAGAGCAATACAGTGAATACTGCTACTCAGTGCCATTCAACAGAAAGTCAGGCTTATAAAAACATTATTAAGTGTCCTCATTTACTTTATTCACCTCATCTGGCACTGTGTGACTCTTGGCTCTTCTCCAAAGTCACACGACTATTAAAGGTAATCATTTTGAATTAATTTAGGACATGGACTAAATCACAACAGTACAACTAAAGATAGTCACCAAAGAAGACTTGCAGGACTGTATCAGAAGGTGGCAAGAATGATGGATTGTGTTTGAAACAAGGGGGAGTATTTTGAGCATGGTTAATGGCAAATGTCTTATTGTAATTGACTTTTGGGGGAGGGATACTGGGTATTGAACTCACGATACTGGGCTTGCCAGACAGGAGCTTCTTCTGCTGAGCTAAATCCCCAGCCCTTGTAATTTGACTTTTTAAAAATTTAAATGTTTATGCACACCTGTGCCTCTTAGGCCAAGCAAGTGTTCTGTCACTGTTGTATCTTCAACTCATTTTAAAAATTTTTATTGTCTTGCTAAATTACACTACTGCCACTGAGATTCCAGCAACTGCATTCATGTGTCCATCTTTCATCATTCTTAAAATGACTGTAAACAACATTGCATGCCTTTCCCCTTCTCTTAGTTTCTCTTGTGTTTCTGTCTTCTGCATGCCATCTTTACCTTCATTCACCACACAAACATTCTACACAGATTTAGCTGTCAAGGCTATAGAAATATTTTTCCTTCTCTGCTGCTGTGTGGTTGTTGGCAACACTTTAAAAAAAAATTTAGGTAAAGTTCTTTAAAGAAAATTTTTGGGTTTTTTTCCTTCCAAATTGTGTGTTAGAGAACTATCTTGCTCAGATAGATAGTTTTTTGATTTGGCAGACTGTAGGTATTTCTACCTACAGTATTTCTCTAGTCACAGGCTTTCTAATTCAGACAGTAATTTATGCTAAACAGTATTTTTTCATACTTCTTTCTTTCTATTCATATCCATTGGTTATATGCTTAAGTTTCTAAAGTATATTTAAAATCTTAGAAGTTTAATGAAATTAATTCATAAAGCATTTAGATAATATAACTCGTGTCCTATTGTAGTGGTACATATTGTTGCCTTCATTTTTCTTCTTTTCTCCTGGTACAAGTTTATACAATACTGATTGACCCCCTAAGAATTAGTGTTTTATTTTTGCTTTGAAGTCTTAGTATACAGTTATTCTGCCTGAAATTTAGTGTAAATTGAGTTGATTTGGGATAGATTACTATAAACCTAGGCTACTAGGGAATATTTTTAAAGGGAAGGTTACAGTAAGTGCTGACAGAGTGAAAATGAAGTCAAAGCCTGTTATCTTGTAGATCGAGGTCCAGAGAGCATCGCAGACACCGATCTCGCTCCATGTCTCGAGAACGCAAGAGGAGGACTCGATCCAAGTCTCGGGAGAAACGTCATCGCCACCGGTCCCGTTCTAGCAGCCGCAGCCGCAGCCGCAGCCATCAGCGAAGTCGACACAGTTCTAGAGATAGGAGCAGAGAGCGGTCCAAGAGGAGGTACTGACGTGCCGATTGGAGGATGTGGAGCTACCTTTATGTTTAGCCTGTTGTTTGCTTATGTTACTTAGGGTTAGAGTTTAGATTATTGGTTTGAACTTGCACCTGGTGATATGTACACATTTGTGTGTGGGTGTATACATTTTTTTCCAGATTCTATTGGTAGTTCAGAAAGATTACATGTGAGCCCAAATAAGAAATTGGAACTGATATGTGCAGAGGTTATTATTGTTTTCTCTGCTTAGTATGTCTTGGGGAGGGGAAAGTATTTTACAGGCAAATAATTTTAGGTACTAATAACTCCTGAATTTTTTCAATATATATTAACATTAGGGGTTCTGAGAAGTCTTCATTAACAGTTGTTTAGCTTTGTTTGACTTACTGTTTTCCAAACTTATTTGAGCTGGTACACAGAGAAGACACATTCTGGTATATTCTTGTTTAATCTGTGCTATATGTAATTCATTGTTTGTACAGCTTGAAAGGGCAGGTTCAAAATTTTAAGGAAGCTGTAAGACTTCTTGATACAAAGAAACACTCAAAAGTTTTAAGGCAGGCAGACACTGGGTAAGGTGTACTCAAAGACCTGAGTATCTAGAGAAGAGACAAAGAATGGTGGAGGAGTTTAGTCCCAAAGTTGTACAGACTAAGCTCCCAGCACTACTCAGGTCACATAGCCCTTAAACCAGGTAATTTCTGTGAAACATAAATCATACTCAAATTTGCTTTGCTTTGTTTTCCTCAACAGCTATTCTTAGATACATGTAGAATAAACATTTTTTTGAGTGCCTAGTACTTACTAGTTTTTCATTTTCTATGGATTATTCTACATAGAGTGCATAATGGAATTCATAGAAAGCTATTTCTGTTCGCTGGACTTTTCAACTGCCATTCCCCTGAATTCACTGAACCTGAGTGCTTTATAGGGTCCCAGTTGGTATTTTATTTCTTAAATTTCTAGCCTTTTTCCTTATGATGATTTAATGAAGACTGTATGCTTCTTACTGCACTAGGCTTAGTAAAAGAAATGTAACATAGTTGAGCACCCATATTCGGGTTGCTCTAAAAGAAGCTTGCTGTGTAAGTTAGAACACAAAACTGACATCAGACAACAGATTAAAAAGTGCTAAACTGAATGCAACAGGGTGTTGTAGGTCTAGGTGAGGGAAGTGCCAGAGTTACACAAAATGGCTTCAGGTCATCAGTGAAACTGGAATAAAGTAGATGTATTGTAAACAGGTAGGACATATGGTTATAGGCCACTTGACTCATTCTTGAAACTGGATTTTGGAGCCACCCTCAACACAGTGTTTAGAAATAAGCATTTGTTAAAAGTTCTCTGTAAATCTTAATTTGTAAATTAAATTTTGAGAGTCATGCAGCTAGGTGATGAAGATCTAGACAATTTCTTGTGTTGACCTGCCCAACTGTCACTGTTTCTGATGTTTGTGAACTCTTAAATGTCTTTATTGGTGGTGGAGATGGGAGGGATGGGAATGAAGTCTCATTCTCTGAGGTTATGTCATGTGAGTCCCTGATGCTTTTTGCATTTGTGAAGTTGTATAGGAAAAATTTCCACCTTACTACGTGATACCCTCACGTCCCAGACTTCAGCATGTTCACAAAGAGGCCTATTTTTGTAAAACTATTAAAAGTCTTGCTTTTCTCAAGAGCACCTCTCATCTGTGGATTCAAATTACTCTTGGAAAAATCATTTTTACCAAAAATTAGGCAGGTAATTGCTATTAAAACCTACTTGTTACGACACAGAATATTAAGTTTTGCTACAAATGTGGATTTAATTTTTGAAGGCAAAAGTTCCCATTAGAAGTCTTTGCAGTTTTGTTGTTCTCCTGCCTGTACTGGGAAGCACTGGTCTCTTGTGTAGTAGATTATCTCTGTGACCTTTCTTTGGCCCAAGTTCCCTACACCAACGAGGATCACTTGCAGCTTTCTGTTGTTTGCTGTGTTCAGACATAGACAGTGCATCTTTACAGAGTTAGACCAGGTGGGTCCAGGGGCCGTGGCCAAGTAAGGTCTTTATGTCACTGTCTACTCTGGAGAGATTGTGTGTGCCCTTTATTAGGATTATTGGTAGTGTAAGAAGTGTATGCAGACTGCTCATGTGTAGGATTTTGCAATTGCTCACATAGCATTAGTTGATGTCCATCACAGATATTTTTCAGTTCTCATCACTGGGACTTACCAGGAGCAAATGTCCTTATTTCTTACGTTTGATTTCTATGCTCTTTCTATACTCTTTCTTCATATTCCATTCCTACAAACGCTATGTAGATGGAGCAGAGCTAGTGTAGACTTAGGATCGTTAGATTTGCATTGTAATTTTTTTTTACATTTTAATGTTGAATATTAATAGAAATCTTTGTCTTTTTTAATCCTCATGAACTACATATATATATTTGAATATATTATTATTTTGTTGCCTTATGATTTCCTGGAAATACTACTTTAGAGCTAGCAATATATTTACACAGTAGAATATATGCTTAGCCTATACCAGGCCCAGGGTTCAAACTCCAGCACCAAAAAGTGTTATTCATGGCAGGGCCTCAGATCTTCTAAATGTGGGTTAGAGATAATTGTGTAAAGTTCTGTATCAACTGTAAACAGCCAAATAAATGTAGTATTTGTTACTAATTTTAAATGTTGCAAATATAGATTTTATATTTATTCAAATTTCATAATATCCTTTAACAAAATCTTATACAGCTTGTTTTGTTACCTTTCTTACTGAAGATGGATATTGGAGCAGAATATTGGCAGTATTAAGTTACTGGTTAATCAAAATCTACTTGTGTGGATCATCTTTTTCTGTCTTCCATTGTGGTTTTAATGAGTTAACTCAGGAGGAGTAAAGCAGATTTTTAAATTAACAATTGGTTATTTAAAGCCATATTATTGAATATTTGTCTTAGATATCTAAGTCCGAATTTGGCAAACTATTGCCTACAGGCTAAATGAGGCTATAGTGTGCTTTTGTATAGCCAGCAAGCTATGGATGGTTTTACATTCTTTAAGGTTGGTAAACAGAAGAGGAAGAAAAATATTATCACAGATTGTGTGACTTGAAGCATCTCAGATACTTACTGTCTGACCAGAAAGCAAGCACAAAAGATTTGCCACCCTCTATATTACGCCATTGATTTCTATCTAATTTGGAATCAGTTCTTGTACGTATTTTCAGAATCTGGTGATACTTTTTACTTTTTAAAGCTATTATCTATACATTATTTTTATATTAAATACTTTTTATGAATTGAAGCTTTACAGTTATCTCCAAGATACTAGAAATAACCTCCTTTTAGTTCAGACCTTTTTTTGACAATAGTGGGGATTAGACCTATGGCCTAACGCATGCTAGGCAAGAACTCTACCACTGAGCTACATTCCTAGTGCTTTTGAAGTTTTTAATGAGACAAGGTCTCACCAAGTTGCCAGGCTGGCCCCCAACTTGTGATCCTCCTGCTTCAGCCTCCAAGTAGCTGGAAATATAGGCATTTCCACCATCTGTGTTGGCACTTACTGTTTTTGGCCCTTAGCTGTTTGTTGCAATCCGTCTTCTTTTTTTAGTTCTTTTATCCACTGCAGTACTACTCTTTTCTGTCAGAAGACTGACTCCTCTGTCTTGGATATATTCTATTTCTTCAGCTATCAGTAGCTTAATATTTATCCTGATCATTTGGATTTTGGGTTCCCCAACATATTTTGCTCCTCAAATTAATATTTTTCAGATCCTCAAAAGAAAGATTCAGAGACCAAGACTTAGCATCACGTGACAGAGACAGGAGTTCAAGAGACAGATCACCTCGTGACCGAGACCGAAAAGATAAGAAGCGGTCCTATGAGAGTGCAAATGGCAGATCAGAAGACAGGAGGAGCTCTGAAGAGCGCGAAGCAGGGGAGATCTAATTAGCTGTGTACATACCTTCAATCCTTAAGCTTCCTTTGAAGTCACATACTATTGTTTAGTTTACAGCTGTTCAGGATAACAGTGAGCAGTTCTAGCACCAATTCAAGAGTCAGCCAGGCTAGACATACAGTATCTAACTTGATCTGGACTGAACCTGTTTTCCTTGATGAAGTCTAAAACTACATCCATAGTTTCTGGTGAACGTGTAATACAGTTCTGAAAGTACAGTTTTATATAAGACACTGATCTCTTTATTCTTCCAAGTAGAAGTGATAGTGAATGAATTGTTACATGACTTGGGATTTTTTGAACATTTGTAAATGCTGTCTTCCTTTCTACTCCAAACAGAAGCAGCTTTGGGAATTTTTCTTTTAAATTCTTCCTGTGACTTTTGTATCCCCTAATACTTGCACTGTCCAACTGTAAGGGGGTCAGGGAAGCAATATGTCTTCTGTTCTGAGGTTCTGTGCCCATTACTAATTACTAGCTCTTTACAGTTCAGAACATTCATACTGGAATGTGTGCTGGAGAAATTGAAAATACTGGGGATTTTGTTTGTTTGATGGTGCCTATTTAGAATTGGAAATTGAACAGCTGTTGCATTACATACTTCTGCTTTTTATTGAAATTTTAAAATCAGACTTGTCTTGATTTTTTTTTTTTTTTTTTTTTCTGTTCCTCATTGCTATGTTCAGGATGTTCTGAGGGTGGGGGCAGGGACTCTTTCTTAATAAGCACTTGTTTTATTTTGTGTGTGTGGAGTATAAAAACTACATCTTTATTGTAAAAAACAATAATAAAATGAAAGAAACAATCATCATCACCGGCAAACTGTACCTTGTCTAGTAAATCGTCAATAGAACTATTTGCTTGGATTTTGCCTGTATTCTGTTACATTATTAACAGTGCCTTACTGTGCAAGGCACCAAAGGAAGTAAATAGATTTGGAGAGTCCAAATGAACTGTTGCTCCTTCTGGGCCTCTCGCTGAATACTTTGCAGCTACAGGGCTGTCTGTAACAACCTGTGTAGAGAAGGAATGGACCTGAGGAAGCATTGGGGGTTTCTTGTTTTCTTATTCAATAAACCTGAATAAAAACAGTATGTAACCAACATAATGAAACTAGCATTTTCTGCATTAAAGGGCTATAGTGATGCAAACAGTAGTTGGCAGGTATCATTTTTAGTTCTACTTCTGAGGGACAAAAATTATAAAACTGGTGTTTGTGAGTATAATTAAGATCACTCTCTAGAGCCATTTCTTTGAATTTGACAAATTTGATGTGACAGGAATATGGGTTCTATGAGAACAGAAGGCCAGTGTCCTTCTAAGAGTATCTCCATTTTACCAAGTGATGCCTCATTTCCAGAGTTACTGTTCAGCACCACACTCAGTTCATAGTTTCATCTAAGAGACCTGTCTGCATCAGCAATCCATTTCTTTTGCTGTTTTTGGTTGCTAAGAGATTGTTTTGTGTCTTTTGTTGTTGGTAGTCTGTGCTGTTACCCCAAAACCTTACAGACATTTTGGATGTAGTTCTTTGAGGTGTGGAGTAAGAGGAAAAGGTTTAGCTGCAATAGTAGGTGCAAGGATGGACATCTGGAACCTGACACATTGTAATTTATTTCTAGTGTTAGATATTGAGAATCTCTAAAGCATACTTCTGAGTCACATTTTCTCATTATGCAGCTAGAATTGCATCTGTGTGACTAGCTATTACTGCAGCTGTGATTCGGGTGAAGTACCCAACAAATAGTGACAGCCATCATGCGCATTGCCATCTTGGGCCTGTGGGCCACAGCAGTCGCTTCACCTGGTTCTTCACACAGATGGTCCCATTTTTAGGAGTCCTTTTACTGGGGGGACAGGGTGGTACACTCTGTAATCCCAGCACTCTGGGAGGCTGAGCCAAAAGGATTGCAAGTTTGATCCCAATCTGGACAATTTAGTGAGAACTGTGTCTTAAAATTTTTTAAAAAGCAAACCCATTTTATAACTCTTCTGCTTTGGATACTTCTAGTATTTAGAGTTTGGGATAAAAGCAAGGTACACTTTTTAAATCAGTGAATGGGATAATCAGTGAATGAGACAACCACTCTGATATAGAAGAACCCTAAGATACCTTTCTCATATATAATATTGTGTACTTCTGGTGCAGCTGGTGGCTGTAGTAGAAAAGTAAGTTTTGTCATGTTTACAAAAATCTTTGATCCTAGGGCCAGGGATTTAGCTCAATGGCATAAGCACCTGTCTGGCAGGCAGGAGGTGAGTTTGATTCCTGATACCAAAAAATAAAGGGGGGGGGATGGGGAGACCTTTGATCCTGTAGGGTAAAAACATACTCTTATCTTCAGCAGATTCCCATCATTTTGCTGTTATCCGTCAATTCCAGAGCTCTCTGTTAGCTGTAGCAGCAGCCACAACTGAGACTAAAGCAGAAAGTGTGGCAGGCAGGCTGTGTTGGGAGTGAACCCAAGGGCGCACCAGACCACATGCCCACCTCTTTTTTTATTCTGAGACGACATCAGTGCAGTTGCCCAGGTTGGCTCCCAACATGGCAATCCTGCCTCGGGTTCCTGAATAGCAGGGACCAGATACATGCCACTATGCACAGTAAGTAGACTTCTTTAATAAAGATTTCCTTACCTCTGATTAAGACAAAAGGTTATTTTTGTTTTGTTTTGTTGATGGTGGCACTAGGATTGAGCCCAGACCCCTTCATCTAAGCAACATCAACATACACACAGGCCCACACACACACTCCTACACCCCTTTCTTTGGTTTTTTGAGACAGGGTTTTGCTAAGTTGCCCTGGGCTGGGCTTATATTTGTAGTCTTCCTGTGTCAGCCTCCCAGAGTGCTGAGATTACCGATGCATGCTACCATGCCCAGCTTCAAGCTCTTTTGTTCCTCAAAGTTCTACTTATGAATGTGTTTTGTTTTGTGTTTTTGGTGGCATTGGGGATTGAACTGAGAATCTTCACCTTGAGCCATGCCTCCAGTTTTCTTTTTCTTTTTTTTTTTTTTCAAACGTTTCAACTTTATTAAAGATACTTTTCATAAACAGTCATGATATTTCAGACAAGACATGGGCACACAATCATTAACAGTATACAACAACTTTCAAACTCCCTTCTTCGATGGACTACCAAAGTCCATCGAAGTCTATCCAAAAATCTATCCAAAAATCAGAAAGCCACTATAAAATCAAATGAAGTCTTTATTTGAGGCTCTGAAGTAGGGAAAGTTTAGTGAACATTGACAGTTCACATTTGGCATGTTTAACAAGTTTTCACAAGCTGACCCTGACTTAGGAAGTGAAAATGGCAGATCCAAAATCTGTTTTTTTAAATGTATTTTATTCAAGGATTTAAAAAAAACTACAGCAAAATTTCAAGCACGTCAATCTGGGGGCAACAATGATAACGTACATTGCGCGCTGTCATCCCCAAATCATGCACCCAGAGAACAGCACATCTGCATTCAGTAGTACGAGCACAAATCTTTGTCTTCAGTGAACTCAGAGAAATTACCAATAAAACTGTCTTAACTTTTTAATACATATATACATATTTGGTTTCTTTCAGCTTCTTACACTAATGAGACAATTTCCCAATGAGTATGGTCTCAAGTTATAGCCATTTACTTACAAAAGTGTCCCAATTTATCATTCTTTTTCACTGAGTAGTACTGCATTGTAAAAAAAAAAAAATGAATCTTTTTAATCCATTCATCAGTTAGTGGACATTTAGATTGACTCCAAGATCAGGATATTATAAACTGTGCTGCTATAAACATGGGTGCCCATATATCACTATGGTATGATGTTTTTAATTCTTTTGGGAAGATAGCCAGAAGGGGAATACTTCAGTTGAATGGGACCTCCTGTCGTAGTTTTTTGTGGAATCTCCACAATGATTTCCACAGTGGTTGCACCCACAGTAGAGAAGGATCCATTTTCCCCACATCCCCTTCAGCATTTGTTATTGGCTGGTTCTTGATAATAGTTGTTCTTTCTGGGGTGAGGTAAGCAAGCTCTCAGTGTTTTAATTTGCATCTCTGGAATGACCAGTGATATGGAACATTTTTTTACGTATTTACTTGCTGTTTGTATTTCTTCATCTGAGAAATGTATATTCTTCTCAGATGCCCGTGTTTGGATTGGGTCTTTAAATCTTTTGAGGAGTGATTATTTCGAGTTCTTTATATGTTCTCAATAATCTTTTGTATGAGGACAGTTGGCAAACATTTCCTCTCACATTGTGGGTTGTCACTTCACTTTGTTTCTCTTGCTGTGCAAAAGCTTTTCAGTAGGGTGAGATCCCAGTTCATTCTTTGTGATAGTTCCTCTGCAGTCTGGGTTTTGTTCATAAAGTCTTTGCTTACACCAGTGTCTTCAAGAGCTTTACCTACTCTTTAGCTTGCAGTAGATTTAATGTTTTTGTTTTAATATTAAGATCTTTGATCCATTCTGATTTTAGGTTAGTACCTGGTGAGACATATGGGTCGAGTTTTAATCTTTGGCATGTGTAGAACCAGTTTTTCCAGCACCATTTATTAAAGAGGCTTTCTTCCTGTGAATGAGTTTGGCACCTTTGTTAGAGATAAGGTGGCTTAGTGTGTCTGTAGTTAATGTGCATCTTCTAATAAGTTCCATTGATCTTTGGTTCTCTCTTTTTTTTTTTTTTGCCAATATCACACTATATCATGGTAGCTTTATAGTATAATTTCAAGTCAGAATTGTAATGCCCACTGTCTTGTCTTTGTTGCCCCGGATTGCCCTTGTTATTCTAGATCTCTTCTGGTTCCAGATGAATTTTAGAATTGCTTTCTCTTACTCTGTGAAATATGCTATTGGAATTTTGATTAGGATTGCATTGAATCTCTAATGGTTTTGGAAGTATGACTGTTTTTACTGTATAGGTTCTTCCTATCCAAGAACACGGAATATCTCTCCATTTTCTAATATCCTCTTCATTTTTTAGAGTACTGTAGTTTTCATTGTAGAGATCTTTTACATCTTTTGTCAGAGTGATTGCTAGGTATTTCATGTTTTGGATGCGATTTTAAAAGGTAGTGTTTCCCTGATTTCTCTCTTGGTGAGTTTGTTATTCGATTGTTATTTGAGTGTTGACTTTGTTACCAGCTATGTTACTGAATTGGTTATCAAATTTAGAAATCTTTTAGTGGAGTTTTTGGGTTCTTCTAAGTAGAGTATCATGTCATCTGCAAATAACGAGTTTAATGTCTTCCTTTCTTATTTTTAATCCTGTTATTTGTTTCTCTTGTCTAATTGCTCCAGCTAAAGTTTCCAGGACTATGTGGAGTAAGAGTGGAGACCGAGGACATCTTTGTCTTTTTCCTGATTTTAGAGAAAAAGTTTTCAGATTTTGCCCATTTAATATGATGTTGGCTATTGGCTTGTCAGTAGATGGACTTTATCAGATTGAAATAATTTTTGGAGGGTTTTTTTTTTTTTTTTTTTTTATATTACAAATGGGTGCTGGACTTTGTCAAAAGCTTTTCCTGGGGCTGGGGATTTAGCTTAGCAGCATAAGCACCTGCCTTGCAGGCAGGTGGTCATGAGTTCAATCCCCGGTACCGATAAAAAAAAAAAAAAAAGCTTTTCCTGCATGTATCAAGATGAACACACGATTTTATGGATTTACATACATTGAACTGTCCCTGCATGCCTGGGATGAATCCCACTTGATGATGGTATACAGTCTTCTGACAATTTGCTGCATTCTGTTTTGCTAGTATCCTATTAAGGATTTTTGCATCAGTGTTCATTGGGAGATTGGCCTGTAATTCTCGTTC